AAAAGGTGGAAACAAAAATCCCATTAACTGGCCATACAAAATCAATCAATCAGAACTGAAAACAACAAACACAATCAGAGATTCAGGAATCACTCTCGACCCAAAAATGTCATTTAAACCCCATATTGCAAATATTACTTCTAAAACGTTAAAAATGTTAGGTTTCATTCTTAGATCTGCAAATGAATTATTTCTCACTTCAATAAAAATCATATATTGTTCAATTGTTAGATCAATAATCGAATACAATTCCACAATTTGGTGCCCTTCTTATCATGTGGATATTGATATGCTAGAAAGTGTTCAAAATAAGTTTTTAAGGTACTCTGCATGTAAACTGGGATATCATACTGGTGAATATAACTATAAAATAATATTGGACATTCTTATTACATTCAAATTAAAGAATCAACTGTCTTAAACAAATTTATTTCTAACAATGTTTCACTATCACAAAGTAATTTATTTACAGCACTTAGCACTTGATTTATTTCCACTATTTGAATTCCTTGTTTAACCGCTCCAGTCACATTCTGAACACCACTGCCCTCTTGGGACGAGAAGCCGGCCTTATATATCGGTAACGATCGTTTTAGAATTCTATAGTGGTTTCGGTACTCAACTAGAATTTAATCGGCGGTTGCCGACTGCATTCCTTTTGCGGTGATGTCACGAGTTTGTTCGCTGGCCGACATATCGGTCAAGGGCGGCTTTAGATTCGTTACAATATGTAAAACAATACTATTATTCGTTTCTGTTCAAGGTATTGGTACAGTCCTGTGACAAATTCAAAGAACAAAATTGCATTGCATACCTCCAGGTATTCAAAGTTTTTGTACAGTGTCTAACTGAGTGGCTGCAGATTGAAGTCAAAGAAGAACCCATAAAATCTAAGGCCGAAAAACTTAAGGAAGTGGAAGATTTCACGGTTAGCGGTGTCAATAAGAACGTGGAGAACAATTTTTCTGATGCAATAATGGAAAAAACCGCTGAAGAAATGTTCAAAGAAGACATGGTGAAGAAAAAAGAAGAATTGGAGAATGAAGTTGGAGAACCCGAAGGTATTTCTATCATTCCTTTATTCCACACGTCTGTATACTTTTTCTTTTTCAGATGATGAATATAAAAAGCCTGATCCGCCTCTACACATCAAATTAACGGTTGCCATATTGACTCGCAGTCTCCATTTTCTTCCTTCTAAAGACAAGCAGAAAAAGTTACTGGTTCTTCAAATATTATCCAGTGGTTTGGAAATAATTCGTGACTGGGAAGACGAGCTATTACCCATTGTACACCAAATCTGGTCTCCTTTAGTTCAACGGTTCAAAGAATTCAACGAACCATTGATTATAAATTATTCTTTTCAACTATTAGTGAGGTTAGCTAGACTTTCCAAAGAATTTATTAGGAGCAGAACAACAAAGTGAGTAGATAGTATAGATAGATGGAATATTGTATTAAGGTTGCTCATCTTCCACATGTGATATACCACTTATTTTCATGAAAGTTTAGCTGAGTCTTCAACAGTGTCTAAACGGTTTATTATCAAAACTATTTTCTCCTTAAGACGCAAACTTGATTGGTGAAATGCGTCGAAATTATTGCAGTTCTGGTGTTTGGGAATAGTGCTTGTTTTGAAAACTATTTTCCACCACAAATAGAAAAACTGGTGTTCAATGTTGTTTTCTGAACGAGTCTAGCCATTTAGTTATATTCATGGATTATGAAATATGTGAGTTTACTTACAAACCACTGTTCCCAAGTTATGTGAAAGCAAAAAGTTCATGTGGACATTTTTTCATTTTCAAATATTCATTTCTCAACATTTCCCAGACTAAGAAACAAGCTATGGCTAAGAGGTTTCATAAGCTCAGAATTAAAGTTGCTAACATTTTTGGAAAAAGCACAATATACTGGTTCCGATCTTATTTTTCGGACAGATAGAATTCAAATGGTAAAGTTACAGAACCAAAATTCTAGTCTCTCGAAAATAACCTGTGGAGTCCCCCAAGGATCGGTGCTCGGCCCTATTTTGTTCCTTATCTATGTGAATGACCTATCTAATCGCCAGTATGTGAAGTGTGTGTTAGTCTTCAAAGTGCAAAACATATTCTAACCGAGTGCATGCTATATCACGATTAATGCAACATTATGGCTTCCCTACACCACTAAAGGACATGTTAGGATATAAATGTGTTAGCTTTCCTCGGGAATATCAATTTGTTACATGCTCTCTAATGTAATATATCAAGTTGCTAATGACCCAAGAGATCAATGTGACTGTGAATAAAAAAAAATTCATAAATAAAACTCAGGTCAGCGTTCATTAAACATTCTTGTTTCAGAGAAGTTATTCCAAGCATCTTAGAAGTTCTCACCAAGCTTTCTGGAGAAAGCTATTTGAAAGATCGAGGATCGGCCTATAGGTATTCCCAAGCATTCAAACTGCAGCAAGTACTGATAGACAATCTCGGAAAAGTTTTGATAAATCTAGATACGGATGCAACTACCGTGAATAAGGTTTTCGAATGCATGTTTAAATATCTGAGTGATAAACAACCAGTCCCATTACAAGTGAGTTGTTAGTGTTTTGAAATTGTTCTTCATTTTTTATGTGATTATTTGCAGGTGGCAGCCCTGGAGTTTTTCAAAGTTTCTGCAGTGTACGACCCATCTAACGTTTTGAACAAATTAGGACAGTGGGAGAACGATAATAAAAATAATGAGTATGAAAAAAATATTCTTCAATTACTGACTGTTATTCAATGAAATACAACAATAATTCAATCCATCAGGAATTTTATTTTGAGGCCCATTCTCACGGTTTTTAAATAATTATATAAAGTATAACATTGGATAGGATGGTGTTATTGCTTCTAAGTTAATAACTGCAATGTCACTGTTTTAGGTAGGGAAAAGTCGATTTAGATAACTCCAGAGAGTGGATGTTGAAACCCCAATGTTATTACAACTGTAAAACTGGTCATACGTTCGTTAAATTAGTCACAACCCCAAGGTAGTTCAAAACGAGAGTAAACATTGTTAGATATATATTATTTTATTTTGTACAATTCAATACAAAACTTCAATTGCACACTCAAAAATGTAAAATTAATTTACTATGTACAGTGTAGAGTATGAAAATTCACATGAATATAAAAATGAATGAAAAAAATCCTTCATTTATATTACAATGACATTTCATGAACTCATGACAGTCTTAAATAAATAGTACGTATTAGAATATATTTAAACAAAAATTGAATAAAAATTTTTCAATTTATCGACGTTCTTCTTCTTCTATGATTTCGGACTTGGTTTCTACAACATTTGGCCAACCCAAGGACAATTTTGGGTTTTTGTTTCAAAGTTCTTATTAGCCATGTTTTCTTGGCTGTTGCATACTCACTCGTAAAAATGGAAAAAAAAATAAAGTGATACGGTAAATATATAAACTTTGAACTGATGATATATAAACAATGAGTGAAATTATACCCACTTAGATCTAAATATAAAGATGTTGAGAATTTGGATAGCAAAAATGTGTCAACTTCAAGTGCGTGGAAAAATATTTTTTTTAGAATAATTTCATCAGCTTGTTGGCCTAGTAAACATTTGCCTGTCTGTGATTAATATTTGACCAGGGGTTTAAAATGAGCCTGAATTTACGGTTCAAGCAACAGCAAAAAGTCCTTCTATCAATAAATTTGTAACTAATGTCCTATAAGGACATTTTCAAACTTACACATTAAACTACAATAATGTAAAAGTTTGAAAATGTCCTTATAGGACGAAACTGCAGTAACGTTAGTTACAAATAAAAGTTGTAAAAAACATAGAAAGTTTCAATTCTCTTTTCTTGATTAGTCCTTCTATCAGTTGGTGAATCAACTTAAAATTAGTCTAGTTCGGAAAAAATCCGTTCACGGTTAGATTCTATTCATATAAAGTCAACAGAACTAGAAATCTGTAAAGGAAAAAATTGGAAAATACAATAAAAAAATGAGAGTAAAATTGACGTTCAAAAAACTAATTTAAAAATACAATGAATTTAGTTACGTTACCTTTTTGAATAAATTCGGTACTAGTCATCACTATAGTCTTCTCAGATTTTGAAAAGAATTTTTATAAAATATAATTTAAAATCAGTGAATACAAAGACATGGAAGAATCACACAAGCAACTTCTCATAAATTTCGCTGAATATCAGAATTTAAAACTTGAGTCACAAAATTATGATTTTCATAGTAAAAATTTCAAACATTTATTGAATTAAACTGGAGTTGTGAATCTTTTTTTTAATTGTGATTTGTTTGCAGATTTCTACAACAAATATAAAACTGCTAATTACTGAGAAACTGTTGATTCAATTTCCAAAAGTCCAACTTTGGCAAATTTTCCCGTTCAATATGAAGGGGGAAACTATTCAAGTTGACAGTGTATGTTTAAACCAGCATATACAGGGTGTATCTCAAATAATGTCATTGATTTCGGGTGGTGATTACTTGTCATATTTCATGAGAAAAAGTTCATATAAACTTATATCCAAACTTGTTTTATTTCCAAGTAATCACCGCCTGAAATTAATGTCATCATTTAAGATACACCCTGTATGAATATTCCCATTCAAAACACTACTTTTTCTGCAATCACCAGAGTAAAGCAGAAGCCGTTTTTATTCGAAATTAAAACAATATAAATTAAAAAGTTTCAAGTTAAAAAATCCAAGATGAGAGTTGGAACAATTAAAAATCACCTGCATGATTCTCCCAAATCTTAGTACCTAATAGATCATCTATATAATAGGTCTAATATCAGATATCTCATATCCCACAAACCTACTCTATTTCTTTTAGTTTTCAGTACTTACTGGTTCTCTAGCATGATGAATTTGTAAATGTTTATTATGATTAGATTTGGTAGTGGAGGTTTTTCCACAAACCCCGCAGTGGTGGGGCCGAATGCCACTGTGTACTTTCATGTGATCTTTCAAGTAATATGACCTATGGAAAGATTTCGAACAAACAGTACAGCTGAAAGTTTTGGCATTTTCATGCTCTTTAACGTGCCGCAAACAGTTATATTTTCTAATGAACTGCGCCCCACAATAGTTGCAGGTGTACGGCCTCACACTCTTATGGGAGTTCATATGAGCTATATAGTCAGTTTCCCTAATGAAAGCCCCTACGCACTGATCACATTTGAAGGGCTTGGAAGTGCGACTCGCGTGCGTCCACTTGTGCAGCTTGAGATTCCACTTCGTTGTAAACACCTTGTTACACATCAAGCACGAGAAAGGCCTCTCGCCGCTGTGACTCTTGATGTGTACGTCTAACGAAGATCTCAGATAGGTACCGTTACAGATCGGACATTGCACGTTCTCACTCTGACGCTTGTCTTCTGGCAGAAATTTGTCGTTGTGTGCTCGTCTCATGTGCCTCGTCAAACTGGACATGTGGAGAAATTTTTCGCTGCATTGAGTGCAGGCTTTCGGTTTCGCATCATGGATTTCCTTGTGCCAGGCCAACTTTTTTTTCGAATGAAATATTTCTCCGCACTGGCAGATGTAGTCCTTGACCTTCTTTTTCAATTGGAAATGGTGGCGGTTGCGGTGTTGAACCAAGTTGGAATGTCTCCTGAATTTTTCGTCACACAAGTTACATTTGATGGGAGCCTCTCCAGTGTGGATGTTTTTGTGTTCATTATATTTTTGTCTGGTGATGAAACATTTGTCGCAGATTTCACATTTGAAAGGTTTGAGTCCCAAATGCCTTTTCATGTGCAGTCTAATATTTTGACGCCTGTAGAATAACTTGCCACATAACTTGCACTCCAAAGGGTGAATCTTGAGGTGTTCTGTGTACTTGTATTCGTTGGGAAACAACTCACTACAGGTTGAACATTTGTGCTTGAGAGCAGCATTTTCTTTGTGGGCCTCTATTTTGTGAGCCTTGAGTGTTCTAGCATTTGGGCACACTTGGTCACAAATTGGACAGATAGTTTTCAGATCCAAAGGTTCCAAAGCGGGTTCATCTATTTTGAAAGTGGTTTCCAACTGAGACTTTTCAGCTTGAGGTTCTGCATTACTTTCCTGCTTCAATTTATTGGTAAAGACATTATCAAAATTGTGCTCAACTTCCGCGTTTTCAGGTTTCAACTTCAATACAAGTTTCTTCACTCTCTTCTTTCCTACTTCAGTACCAACCAGGTTTGGTTTTGATTTCTCAAAGTGCTCCACCACTTCGTGTTCTTTTCTTTCTTTAGAAGTTGCAAAGTCTCTTCCGCAAGTGGAGCACTTGAAATTTAAAGGAGGACCCGTACAGCTGACAATAGTAGGAGTATCATTTTCAACTTCGTACTCGTTTGGCTGGTAAGAAACCTGGGTGGAATTTTGCGGAGCAGTTGGCATGTCTACACTATCACTATCCGAAGCCTCCCACGACCCTCTGCCAATCAAATCATAAGATTGAGACATTCGAGAGCTACCTTCCTGATACTGCAATTGATTCCATGTTATGTCGCTATTACCACCAATACTTTCCTGTCCCGAGAGCTCACCTCTGGCAGGCATTCTCTCGTCCGATCTAATGTTGACCTGTGAACTCCCTCTCGACATGCTCTCCTCAAAGTCCCTATGTTCCACGTAATCTATCCTTGAATGATCTGGGATTTCCCCAATGGTCATGAGAACTCTAGGTCTTTCAGGCGATGTACTCTCAAAATTTTCCACTTGGGCAACGATTTGATTTGGAGGAAATTCGTTAATGATGATTATGTCGTCTAAATTCACGAAATCTAAATGATCCCCGTGCAAAATATTTGCTGAGGTGTAAATGGGTTCAGACTGCTCATAATTTTCGGTAGTTTCAACCTCTGTGAAAGGAGTTTGCTCAGTACTTTGTTGACTTACGTATTCATTGGGTTCTTGCTCAACATATTCATCATTTTGTGAGTCCATGTAAAAATATTCGGGTTGATCTTCCTGAATGAAATTATTGTCGTTTTCTTGAACTAGTTCTTCTTCCACAACTTGCGACGTAGGGGACGCATTGCCAGCATTCTGTGTCTGACAAGCTTTGCTCAACTCAGTTTCTGATTTCCACTCAGAATTTGTTTCAGATATTGGAGACCTACTAACTTCTTGCCCAACTAGGTGGTTATTCTGATCGACTTGTCCGGTACTGTGATCAGTTTGATGAGTATTATCATCATCTCTTTCCGGCTGAAAGTCATCTGGAGGTATATCGTTCAGTAGCATTCTTTCATTTTCAAAATCTTCCATAGTTTCCACATTATCATCGGTTAAAGATCTTTCATGTTTTTCAATAATGGTTATTGATTCATTGAATAGTGATTCTTCTATTTTTGGGTCATCCACAATTTCCTCTGAAGGTTTTTCTATATTGTCCTCTACCTGCAAACAAATTTGATTTAAACACAGAATCTATAAATTTTGCCAAAGTTAAAAATTGCTGTGATTCTAGCAATCTTTCGAAAATGTAGTTTTATCAAATAACCAATGATAAATTTTTCAAAATTTACTTATTCAATAGCCTACAATCCACCAAAATTGGCATGTTTTTTGATAAAAAACAACGTTAAGTCAGGTATACTTTGGCATCTCTCCATTTATGCAATCACATATCTCAAAATAAAGTGTATTTTGTATATGGTTACATGTTGCTTCATTCATTTCATATCCAGATTCTGATACTAGTACATAAAAAACTAAACAATACTCAAGCCTTCCTCAATATTAATGCTCTTAAATATTATTATTATACTCTTCTCGAGTTGCCGTCTTCAGGAGATGGAGTGGTTGGTGAAACACGCTTCGAAAAAAGTATTGTATGTCTGGTAAATAAGAAAAGTGCTTGCTTTTGGATTTAATCTCCGGCAGAGAGTTTGATTTGAAAAAAATATCAGTATGAGTGGAGTAATTAAACTGCTGTTGTTGTTTTCAAGACACATCATGACACATCATGAAGTTTCCTAGAGTAAGTCATTACTTTACATTTTCTCACACAGAATGTAAGTTTATCAGTATCACAACAGACTTTGAGATTTTTAAGCAAATTATTTTTCCTAAAAATCTTTACATCTTCATATACTAGTTTTTAAGCACAGATATCATTCAAAGCAAAGATATATGATCTGAATCTTCAATTCCACATAAAGACTTCAATCTGGTAGATGAAACTTTGAAGCTTTTCCAAAATAATGTCATTAATATCATTAATTTTGCTGTTCATGTGGTTATTTTTGGAACTCATTTGATTGTCAAATCCTAAAACTCATATTTATATATGGATTAAGTTATTTTACTTCTGTCCATGGAGTGAATACAACTTTCGATGAACAAAACGAATAAAAGTTTCAACACCTGAATAAAACACTCAAATAATTTTTGAACATTAAAGTATATACCATTCATTACCTCAACAATCCTGCACTCTTTCTGGCTCTCATTTGTATCTATAACAGAAACTGCATCCTTTTGAGACTCCAAAGAATTATGCGAGTCAAATGATAGTGCTTTGATCTGAGGTGGTAAAGAAGAATTACTAGAAAGTATCACTTGCTGTTGTTGCTGATAAACGTAAGGCATCATCATCAACGGATTGAAAGCAGTCGGGTAGACATACTGTTGAGAAAGTGGATTAACATGCATAACTGGAGGCTGAGGAGACGTTGTACTCATACTCTGTTGATAAATAAACAAGTGATTGCCATGAGAAGGGCTGACTTGAGGTGGATTCCCTAGTGGCACTGGCGGAGTTTGGTTCCAAGAGTGGTTCACTACTGCTGTATTAATGTGGCTGCTCCCAACAGTTGCTACATTTGGGGACTGCAAAAGTTGTGGTGACGCACTACTTTTCGCTGTGGGTGATTCTTCCACCAGGGACAATTTAACCAAAGCATCGATAACCTTTTGTTTAGGATGGGACGTCAAGTGCTGCTTCAAGGTTATGCCTGGTCTCAAAAACAAAGTGCAAACAGGACAACATATGTTGACTGAATCCATTTTTCTTGAACAGTTTGTACAACTCACTCAATGGTAGTTACTTAGGAGTCAGAGCACTCCTCCATCCAAATGTATTGATCTGTGGACAAAATCAATGACCAGTATTTTAAAAAGGAATTTAACATGTTACATGGAATATTTTAATTTTTTTGAAACATATTTATTAATCAACTCGTCTATGCACTGATAAGAAACTTGCAATATGATTTTTCACATATTACGCCCATGTTTGGGAAAATTGTAATAAAATAATTACCAAGAATGTTATGATGTTTCCATCTTCACCAAATAAGTATATATTCCTTCATATGGGAATTGTGTATCTGTAGGAATATCCAATATCAAAGCCCAATTAGGTGCTGTTTGGGTCAATGGGGTCACAATTTGAGACAGAACCCAGACATCGGACAAGAAACCAGGGGATTTTGTTTTATTTACTTTTTTTACGCTACTGATTGTCGGCCGTCATTTTATGGCGATCGACCCCATAGTTGCCAACAGCGGTAAAATAATGACATTTGACATTTGCTAATAAGTAAATAACCTATGGCTAAATGCGCCTATAGGGAAGCAAAGGCCAAGAACTTTGAGTGAAGTAAATAACCTATCTTTCTGAGTTCCTTCTACATTTTTATTTTTGATAAATGAGAAACCGATTTCCAGAATATGACCGAAAAGAGATTTCCAGTCGTCCTATATGAAGTTGAGGCTCCAGAATGAAGAATCAGCTATGAAGAAATATAAGATGATCTGTCTCAATTATGTCCCAAAAATGAAAATGCAGAAGGAACTCAGAAAGATAGGTTATTTATTCATTAGCAAATGTCAAATGTCATTATTTTACCGCAGTTGGCAACCATTGGGTCACATCACTTAAAAAGGTCAAGTGGTGAAACCAGTGGTGCCTTCGTGTCGCACTAGTACTACACTTTGTTACTCTGAGGTACTACATGAGTTCTGTCAAATATCAGAACTGGCACCGTACATAAGTAAACAGTATACGGTGGTACTGTGCAGTCTCAATGGAACATGATTTTAGCACATGTCACACATCAACATTACTATTATGTAGTGTCACTACGTAGTTACTACAAAAATGCTACTGTGATAGCTAAACGTGTCGTTATGTATCCTAAGGTGTAGTTTATGAAAAATGAAATTTCTGCAACGATAATTTTAAAGATATTTACATTTTTTTTTTCAAATCAGGGCAAACTTTTCAGTTTTATTTATTTTGCAAGAACAGAAAAAATTGTCTTAAAAATAATGATTTTCAAAGGACAATAATTACATTTTTGTAGAAAAAACTTCATCCTGATTTATCGTTTCTTGTAATTGTCACCTATTGAATTTTCCGATTCGCAAAACTTCAAAGTATGTGAAATGCTTGCAGTACGCATGCGATATATAATGAAAGCATAAAGAAATCGTTTGTTTTGAGCACTAACCTGATATAGAACATAAAATATGTGTTACTCTATTCTCCAAAAAACGAGAAATGATGTTATTTTCCAGAAGCATAATATGTAATAAAATAAGGCTTGAAAATTTTTACCATTGGATATTCCCGATATCTCAACTAGTGAACGATAGCACTATGTTTTTTTTTTAACAAGGGCAGTTCATTTCGCAAAAAAAAATTTTTCGTGTATCTAAACGTTAGCGTGTGCCTAAACACTTCCAATATTTAATTTTCTTTCTATTGGCACAGAAGTTGCTGCAATTCTCTCTCTCTCTCTAATTTAGTCATTCAGCACATGCATGACACTCTATGACCATGTGCAATATGAATGTGACGTAATATAGTCTAACTTGTCATGTTTATTGTCGATTAGAACAAATTTAATTATCTTTTATTTTCCGCATTGTTCTGAATTCAAATAAAAATGAAAACCAGATATAATACCTACGATATAGTGTGTATCACCACCGAACTCCAAAAATGTGTTGGAATGAGAGTGAATAACATTTATGATATTGATAATAAGACATACTTGATTAGATTACAAAGAAGTGAAGAGAAACAAGTTTTACTCCTTGAATCTGGCAATCGTATTCATACAACAAATTTTGAATGGCCCAAGAATGTTGCCCCATCTGGATTCAGTATGAAGATGAGGAAGCACCTCAAAAACAAACGGTTAGAAGCCATAAATCAAATAGGCAGTGATAGAATAGTTGATTTACAATTCGGTTCAGGTGAAGCTACTTACCACGTCATTCTTGAGTTGTATGATCGTGGAAACATAGTTCTTACTGACTATGACTATATTATTTTGAATGTCCTTCGTCCTCATACAGAAGGCGATAAAATTAAATTTGCAGTTAAGGAAAAATATCCACAAGATAGAGGTAGAGAAATTGGAATGGTCAGTAAAGAAGAAATTATGACAATTTTAACAAATGCTAAAGTGGGAGATCAATTGAAAAAGGTGTTTGTTTCAAAATTGGATTATGGCCCAGCTGTTATAGAACACGTGCTCCTGAAACATAACCTGAGTAACATAAAAATAGGGAAAAATTTTGAGTTATCTGAACATATCGATAAACTCGTTGCTGCCATTTCAGATGCCGAGGATTTGTTTCAGGCATCAAAAAAACAACATTGCCAAGGATATATCATACAGAAAAAAGAAGAACGCCCTATATCAGATGCCAACGTTGAAAATTTTTTCTATTCCAATCAAGAATTTCATCCAATGCTGTTCAATCAACACAAATCAATGCCCAATGTAGAATTTGCAACATTTAACGAAGCAGTAGATGTTTTTTTCTCATCATTAGAGAGTCAGAAATTAGAATTGAGAGCAGTTCAGCAGGAAAGAGATGCAATGAAGAAACTTGAAAATGTTAGGAAAGATCATGACCACAGACTTGAAGCTCTGGAGCGCACCCAAGATATCGACCGTCAAAAAGCAGAACTCATCACTCGAAACCAGAAACTGGTGGATAGTGCGATTTTCTCTATTCAGACCATTTTAGCTAATCAGGTATCTTGGGAGGATATCGATGAGATGGTGAAGGATGCTGCGGCCAAAGGAGACCCCGTAGCAAAACATATAAAAAAGTTGAAGCTTGAGGTCAATCACATCTGCTTATATTTAACAGATCCCTACGAAGATGCCACTGAAAGTATGGAGTCTGATTCTGAAAATACTGATAGAATAGCTCCTTTGATGGTCGATGTAGATTTAGCACTTTCAGCATTTGCCAATGCTAGAAGATATTATGATCAGAAACGCTCGGCAGCAAGAAAGCAGCAGAAAACCATAGAATCTCAAAGCAAAGCTTTGAAGTCAGCTGAAAGAAAAACAAAACAAACTTTGAAAGAAGTTCAAACCATTACTAATATAAATAAGGTAAGAAAGACTTACTGGTTTGAGAAATTTTTCTGGTTTATCAGTTCTGAAAATTATTTGGTTATCGCGGGAAGAGATCAACAGCAGAATGAGCTCATTGTTAAAAGATACATGAAACCCACAGATGTATATGTTCATGCCGATATTCATGGTGCTAGTAGTGTTATTATTAAAAATCCCAGCGGTCAACCTGTCCCTCCCAAAACACTCAATGAAGCCGGTACAATGGCGATATGCTACAGTGTGGCTTGGGAAGCTAAAGTTATTACAAATGCTTATTGGGTGTGGGGCGAACAGGTTAGTAAAACTGCTCCTACCGGTGAATATTTAACCACTGGTAGTTTCATGATCAGAGGAAAGAAGAACTTTTTGCCGCCATCACATTTGATTCTGGGATTGAGTTTTCTGTTCAGACTGGAGGATGGATCAGTGGAAAGGCATAGAGGGGAACGAAAAGTTGTGGGTGGTATTGATGAAGACGAGACACATAATGTTGCCGAGAGCGAAATGGAGAAAGATGAAGTAGAAGTTGAAGTACTAGATGAGAGCGATGAGAATGAACTAGATGAAAAAGTTGATACTGAAGGTAACTGTGAGTCTATGGAGGATATACCAGATAATGCTTCCGACAATGATCATGAAAATGTCAAGTTTCCTGATACCCATGTAAAAATTGAACACTTTACCGAGACCAAAGTGAACATATTAACAAAATCATCCATGGTAATGCAGGAAACAGACAGTAAAGACAATGTGATTTACCTTGGGGATGACAAACCCATTATTTTGAAACCAAACTTGAACCAAAGGAAAAGGGCAGATAGCGAAACTAAATTCAAAAGTCAAAAAAACGATAAAACAGTAGACTTCAAAGACGCGAAACAACATCAGTCCAAAAGAGGTCAGAAGAGTAAGTTGAAAAAAATCAAAGAGAAATATGGGGATCAAGATGAGGAAGAAAGAAAAATGCGAATGGAAATATTACAGTCTTCAGGTGCTTCCAAGGAGATGAAAAAAAATAAAAAGGGTAAAGATACTCAGTCAAGTAAGAAGAAAAATACGGAACCGAAAGTTCCAGTAACATTCTCTCGAAAAGAACTTGTGGAAGATGGTGGCGATGATGATGAGCCGCTGATTCAGGCAGACGTTGATATGATTGATGCTTTAACAGGAACACCAGTTTCAGAAGATGAATTACTGTTTGCTGTTCCAATCATAGCTCCTTACAATACCCTTTCCAATTATAAATTCAAAGTGAAACTCACTCCTGGAACAGCAAAAAGAGGTAAAGCGGCTCGAACAGCAGTCACTATGTTCATGAAGGATCACTCTATCACACCACGAGAGAAGGATTTACTGAAAGCTGTGAAAGATGAACAACTTGCAAGAAACATTCCAGGAAAGGTGAAGCTTTCAGCTCCAAGACTTCAAAACCTCAAGAAAAATTGAGATATATTTATTTTGAAATGTATTTTTTTGAATACATGATATGGTATTATTTGGAAATTCCGATTTGAAACTCGGAATTAGACCGTTATTTTATTATTATAACTAAACCTAAACTCTCAGCCAAAGCTATCCTTTCTTCCTTCCTTAATTTATTGATCTCAGTTTCCTGTGTCCCTGCTATATGACCAGCTCTCTTCCCGTTGTGTAATATACACTAAAGGAACGTTGTCCTAGAAGTGCAGAAGTCTTTCTTCACACAATACTGCACTTTTCATTAATGTTTCTTAATTTCATATATTGCTTGCACGTCTTCAGACGGCGGACATACACGGCAATGAAAATAGCCGCTACCCGTCGACGAGGAAACGGAAAATCTAAGCTATCTTTGAAGATATCAGATAATAATTTCATTTAGAACACATTTTTCTCTGAGTTGGCTACTGAGCGTATTTGTCGTCAATTGGAATGCTAATTATTTATCGATCCAACGACATTCTGAGTAGAATTTGGAGCCTGCGTCATAAAATGAGTTTTTTTCTAAAAGGTTTAATCATCTCCTGATGATGCTAGGTTAGACAGCGTCCGTTTTGGTGAGAAAAAAGTGACTTCAATGGAACAATGTTTTCTACCACAATTAAATATTATATATATTGGGTAGTACTGCTCAATACTAGATGGCGCAAAAAAACTAACAGAATATAGGTAGGGAACTTTTTCCCGATTGTAACAAACCTTGGATGGTTACCACAAGCAATAACACAAAAAAACTTAAGAAGATGACATATTTAACCTCATTTCTGACGACCATCGTCCTGTCTTTATATAAATAATTTAAAGACAGGATTTTTTAAATATCACACTACACTGAATAGTAATGAAAAATAAACGTCAATGGAACTATAACGTTAAGTTCTTCAACCAATATAAAAGTTACTTTTAATGTACTGAAAATCAATTGCTTTACAAGTTGATTAAAAATTGGTGGAAAAGGTACAAGAAAATGAACGCCACTTGGAGAACATACTTGTTGTGGTTTGCCCAGGAACACATCGAATTCCGATTTGCGGTAATAAAAAGCTGAAAATTTTAAATATATAGTCAAGCCATTTGAAGAGTTTTTCTTCATTTAGACTCCCATGAATTCATACATGGGAAATGGTTCTTAACTTATTTAAATAACAAGTGTTGATGATCTACTATTCGATCATCTCCAACATCACTTATGAGTGGTGGGTATTACCTGTGTATATTGCAATGGTGAATCCTCAACAGCAATGAGGTTTTTATTTGGAAGATTTTCATAAACCATAGGAAAGAAGTGAATCCCTTTATCTTTCTTGATTTACTGTTTCCATGATAGATATGTTTTTGAGTTACATGAAATACAAAAACAATAAATTGAAATATCTCTCAACCTTAACCTTATTTTTAATTCTGATTAACATTCTTTTTTTAACTTTTCCTTGCTCAGTCATGTACATATGGTTAGTTCTGAATGTGAATCTGAAGATTGAAGTCACAGAAAAAGTACTTACACAATTTCTGAATAATTTTTCAGGAAATACAGTCTCTGCTTTCCCTATTTAATATTGACATGAGGTACCTAGAGAGGCCAAAGGATGTAAGTAAAAAGTACATAATGAAATTATTTAATACTTCAAATTTTGAATATTCATTCAACAATTCTTCATTTATCTCCTAATATAACATGATACGGGTTTGTTTACTGTAGTTGACATACAATCAATTAAATGATTCATTTTGTTTTCCAGGAACCATATTGGATTGTGCAATTTGCATCTGAAAAAGATGTTCATCTGCTTGCTAGCAGATCTGTCTCCTTGAGAAACTGCCTGGAGCTTTGGTCTCGTGCTAAAACAGTCCAAAACCTACATGAAAAACTTAAAAGTGTCCCTCCCAAAATAATGGCACCTTATTTTCGTCCGGAGAAATCTTTCAAAATAGAAGTGGAAACATTTTGCCGCCATTTCACACAAAAAGAGAAAATTGATAAAATTGAGGTATGTAACCGTTCTGAAGAATCCATTGTATAATGAATTAAACATCCCTTGTGGGTTTGTAAATTGGTAATGTTGTGAGGTCATTATAAGTGTCAACTGAATAATATTTTGCACTATAAACTATTTTCATACAAATGAAGCATCATTTCTGATTGAAATTTTCTCAAAGGTCACTGCCTACAAATTATTCGTCAAACTGAATACCAGGTCTTTGTGGGATCTGAGGATTAACGAGGTCTTACCTTTTAACATGAGACTCCTAGCATTAATTCAAATATATACATACTGGAAAGCCATATTCGATTCTTTCACAATTTATAATATATTCTTCATTGAATTTATTTTTCTGTTTAGACTTTCAGTTACTTACCATTGGAAGGGCCCGTAAATTTAAAAAATCCAGATGTTACCTTACAATATATAGAGTATTATGGAACTATTTCCAATAACCCTCCTGAACTACCATACGAAGTTTTCTTCGGAAGATGGGTGAGTAACATAATGAAGTTTTTCTTCTACTATCAGCACATCATTAATTCTTAAAAGTATGTTAAACTTTTTTTCTTGCAATATGTAATATATTTGAGAATGTCTTCCAAACGATGCATATCTTTTTTATCTTTCTTTTATAATTTTTCGTTGAAAGTCTGTAGTATTAAAATATCTATAATATATTTTCAGGTAGCTAGTGGTTTACGTCAGCTCATCAAAAAGTTGTCTTTGAAAACTAGAAAATTTATAGGTAATACAAGTATGGATCCCCAGTTATCTCTTCTCATGGCAAATCAAGCAAAAGTTAAAGAGGGAGATATTATTTTGGACCCCTTTGTTGGAACGGGGTCACTTTTAGTAGCAGCTGCTCACTTCGGTGGTTATGTTCTAGGTACCGATATTGATTACCTAATGCTACATGCGAGAACAAGACCATCAAGAATAAATCAGAAGGTATGTCAATAAATATATAAAATTTCATGAACTTCACAAACTTTTATTTTCAAAAATATATTGAGACGTGTTTCACTATCATGTTGTGATATATTTCTGAATATGAAGTTTCTGAAGATCAAATGGTAAGGTGTAGTCTATGAAATTACAATGGATCTTTATCACGTAACGGCTAAATCAATCAGAAAAAGAATATATGAAATTTCTTCATCTCTTTTATTGCTCATTACCAATTTGCATTGAAAAAAAAAACACATTGAATGGGAAATGGTATAAATTGAAGTATCTTCTCAGGAAAACCTAACAGAGATATAGGAGGACCTTCAATCACATTGATTTATTTTCTAAACAATGGAATCTTTTTGACAAAGCTAATATATTCATTAAGCCTTTTCAAGCTAATTTGAAAAACCTCAACCAACAAAACAATAACATATCTTTTTTATTATTAATTATTTTCTAATTAATTAACACGCTTTTATCAGCTTCACCTGTATGTATGTTTGTTTGTAACTCTCAAGCTTGGGATCTGTATTTGACAGAATTATCGACATTATCGCTTGATCTATTCGAGGGCAGATGGCGCTGTATATAAACTCCTTGATATATCGACATTATTGCTTGATCTATTCGCGGGCAGATGGCGCTGTACGTAACTCCTTGATATAATTCGAACTCACTTTACATGTATTTCTTCATTCGAAAAGAGTATTTTTTTTATTAACACGTGCGCCTGCTGTCTTATTTGTAACCCTCCTTTGCGCGCCTGCTGCCTTGGGCTTGATAGCTGATTTTCAGTCATCTGATATAATTTTGAATAATGTAATGATATCGTTATTTGTTCTACAAAAAGAAAGGATGTGAAGATTTGTAATGACAATTATATCCGCATAATCATTCTCCAACTGTGAGGCCAGATTTGAAGGCTGAGGAGATGAGATTGGTGACGTATACTCCAATACAGATCTTATACACACAAAATCGGCATCAAATTCTTGATGCATTTCTTATAAATGTTTAATGAACTTTCAAAATCGTTTTTTCTGCAGCGGAGGGAGACAGATGAAAGTATTAAAGCAAACATGAAGCAGTACAACCTAGAACATCGTTATTTGGACGTATTGGTGAATGATTTTTCAGTCCCATTTTGGAGAAACGATTTCCAATTTGACGCTATTATTACAGATCGTAAGTTGTAGTCAAGTGACAATACCTTCGAAACAACAATTACATTAGTATTTCAGCCCCATATGGAATAAGAGAGGCCACCGAAAAAATTGGAACGGCTAAAGAAAATTGCATCATCAAAGAAGAACATTTACCCACACACATTCCCGCTAAAATAGAATACGGAATATCTAATATTTACAAAGATCTGTTAGCGTTCTCTGCGAAGCATTTGAAAGTCGGAGGTTGTGTAGTTTGTTGGTTCCCAGTTTTCAGGTATGTTGATTGATCAAAGCTTTTCGATGGAATCACAAATAGCCATGATGTTCTCTACGTAGCTCAGAGAGTTTTCAACATAGACTACCAAGAACATGAGGCTAATAACACAAGGACAACAAAATAACCATTATGAAATTTTTAATTACTTTATATTTGGCCAAGGTTCAGACAGATTAATGTATATTACACTGGGAAAATACTGTCTCAAAATGTTCTACAAAATCTGAAATTTTTGCGAGCTTCTTTTTGGACGTAATCTGGATTAGAACCTCTAACACGCTTCATTTATTTGTTATAGGGAAGACTACCATGAAAGTGGCCTACCTTCACATCCATGCTTGAAACTGACTGCTAATTCTGAACAAGTATTATCTAAAATCACATCTCGAAGGTTACTTACTTTTGAAAAAATCAGACCCCCAAGCCAAGAAGAACTGGACACCATCCATAGCCAGATAACAGATTTCAGGGAGAAGTATTATACTGCAAGGGAGGAAACAAGACAGGAAAGAAGGATGAAAGAGGCGAGAATCAGGAAAGAAAATCATTTAAAGTACAAAGAAAACATAAAGAAAGTTGAATAAAAACAATTTTTATGAGTAAGACATTTATTATGATAGCTCATCTTTTACTTCTTCCTTTTCCTTTCATGTTCGACTTATGTTTCATGGGTTTCCCACCAATGGGTCGTAGATCTCTCTTTTCGGAATTTGTTTTGTCTTTGCCTTTGAATTTATTTTTTTTATTGAATTTATTGTTCCTATCGAAATTTTTGTCATCATTATTTTTACTCCTATTGAAAGATTTTTTAATGAAAGGCTTCCTTTTGGTATAGTTTTCATTGTCTCTTTCTCCAGTTTTGGGTTTTTTACTCTTATAATGTGGACCTTCAAACTTTCTCTTGACACCAGTCCTCGGCGTGAACAGATCTGAAAAAGTAAAGAATTTGTCACTGATTATAGTTATCAATTGAGGTGTGAAATGCTTTAAAATGAGTTTACACAAAGAACTGTCCTTGGCTTCAAATGCTGTATATATTTAGAATTCATATTACCTTTATCCGGTTCTTCCCCTACTTCCTGTTTGTAATATTCTGTGTCGTCGTCTTCTGTAACAGGGGCGTCCTGTTTAGATTCTTTGTCAGCCTTCCTCATTTGCAAATTAGTTTCCAAACCAACTTTTTGCATGCCCTTAAGAGACTTCTCTTTTTGTTCTTGCTTGGCCTGGTCCTTGGCTTTTTTGTTAGCATCTTGTATTTGTTTTCTTTTCTCCTTCAATTTTCTGGAAAAGAAAATTCTTAGAACTAACCAAAAATAATACCTAAATTTGACATATCATCAAATTTCTCAGATTATGAAATGATAATTACTTATTGATGGAAATTTTAGGATGTTATAATGAAAAAACTACAAATAGGCAGTTGAAATGATAATACAAATTGTAGAATCACTTTATGACAAAGTTTCGACCTATGAAAACTCACCATTCAAATCAAATGTTAATGAAAAAAAAAGTGTTCAAAACTACTCAACAAATTGCTGAACAACTTCAAAATGAAATAATAGTGACTTGTAAGAAATATTCAACAAAGTTTTTTCCCTATGAATTCCTACCGTTTGATTTCCCTGCGTTTTTGGATTTGCTCTTTTTCTTCTTCGGTTTTATAGATCAAATCATGATACAGTACTTCTCCATCCAACAGTCCATCTTCAATTTTTATTAGCTGTAAAGTAAGTCGAGGACCCAGTTCACTCAATCTTATTGATGATTTACCCATTTCAACATTTCCTCGAGAAGCAATTTTCTGGGTGAGAGTTACATGATTTTGAGGATCATCTTCTGCCTCACTTTCAGACAACATGCCGGATCTAAAAACATTATATTCACTTTTGTACTTCTAGTTCTAACCAATCTTAACAGAAACATAGTAAAAGGTATAAGATCCACTTACAAGTTAGTGACAAGCTTAATGTGTCTCGCTTGGGAATAGGTAGATTAAGACCCTTGCAGAGACCAGTGTCAAAACTTGGGAAGTAGACCTTTAATAAACCTGTGTCAGAACTGGCGCTGCTGTGGATACTTTTGGTATCATTTTGACAATTCCAGTGGTTCCTATGACTGGACCTGCCTTATTTAGACGATGCCACTTCCTGGCGTCCGTGGCTATCGACAGTAAAAATCTCTAGAGGTCCCCAATGTAGTAGTGTGTAAAAAAAATAGTCTAGTTTCTGCTACAATGACAAATTGTAGTACTGGGTGACCGTCATTAGCCAGTGACAGGCCAGACACGTTCAACAAACACGGTCTGTGCCACTGCCAGTCTAAACGTGTGAAAAAATCCAACTCAAATTGAGCGCAACTTATGTTAACCCATTTATAGTCAACTCATATTGAAGTTATGAAAAATATTTAGAATAATCATGATACTATATGAAACAATGATAACTTACTTGGAAAAAAATTCAGTGATGTCATTACACCTTGACAAATTTGGAACTTTTCCTTGAACTACTTTCTTGACCCCTTTCGATATACCCACAGGTACAATTTTGATATTGTAGTGTCTGAAGTCTATCAACTTGGTGGTTGGATTATAGTTCATTAAAACACATCTTTTAGCAGTATTCAAATCAATTGTTGTTGGATTTAGTGCAGGAAACATATTTTGAAACATTGACGTCATGAGTTTCAACTGCATTCCTTCTCCACTGAAACTGTTCAATATAATCAACGGAGAATGTTTGAAAGCTTCGTCAACAACTCTTTGTTTTTTAAGAGAAGAAATTACGTCTCTGGATAAAGTAAAATTCTGTATTTTGAATGTTAGAGTTGGGCCTCTCGGTAGCCGCATTATTTTCAAGTACATTCCCACTTCTGTTCTAGAAAATATCGATAAGTGAGAGACATGTAATGGACCTGCTACGGATACGAAGTCTTTTATCGTATTCTTCTTTCTTGCCTAAAATAGAGCAGAATATATAACTAACACCTTTTAAAATAAGAAATTAAACTCACCTTGAGCGAAGAAGCTGTGAATGGTTCCATAACTTTTCTAAAGTCCTTCATTAATTCAAGAGTGCTTCCTCCTGGTAAACCTTTATGAATAACGAATGAATGTGGAGCCTGAACAAGCTCATCGGACTCTATATTTTTGTTATTTATATTTTTCTTAACTGAACGACCTGGCTTCTTTTTACCCATGATGGATAATTTACTTCATTCAATCGAAACGAGAACAGTTTTATTCAATAGGTTATGTTATTATGAATTGAGGTTAAATATTTTCTTCTTTTTCTTCCTCTAATGACCTGGTCTTCTACTGATACTTTTACCAAAGAGTACACCTTTTACTGAAATAATTTATAGCTACGTTCGGATATTTGTCATGAGATTGAAGTAGAGCTGGATTAGAATGACTATCGAAAATTCGACGACTGTAAAAATCATAAAATGAGATTATGTTTGAGTCGAATTTTTAATAAAAAGGGAAAAATAAACCAATATACGCTTATGGTTAGTTTTGTTCAATACTTGTTCAAAAAATAAGACGCATTTTATTTTGTATGATTTCAGCTTCATTTTTTGAAACTACTTTTTAAAATTCGGATTGACATATAGAATATAATAGTTGAATCCCAGGTAGTCTGACACCGACAATTTCAATGAATATGAATCACAGCAAATTGTCTACTGACATAATTCATAAAATATTGTGTTGTATAACTTACCTATGTGAAAATAAATCGCAGTCGTGAGTTCTCTTGGTAAAACCATATGACTTTAATGAGTTTCTTTAAATTTAATACTGGATAACCTTCGAGAAGACTGAGGCCTAAATACAATTAAAAGAAGAAATATTTGGTTTTTAGTTCAGTCACAGCATTGCTAACCTATGAGTTGAGTGTTTACTGTTTACAAAATTGTCATTTTGACTTTTTGTTTTGCAAATTGTTTCCCAAAATAATTATTTATTACTTTATGTCCTTTACTACAAGATTGGAATCACATGATGTATTTTTGTGATGATTTTTTTTTAAATTTTACACTGGATTATGAATATATGAATTATTTGGACTGTTATCATATAATAAAAATGTGTAGCTAAAACAGCTGGATTATAAGAAAAATTTTGACTAGTAAAGTAAATTCCACTCTGATCATATTATTAAGTAATGAAAAATGGAAACTTGCAGTAGATGTGAGAAAAAATCTGTGCCTCCAGAAAATACAGAACTTGTACAAATCAAAAATGAAAAATGTAATTATCTAGAGGAATGTGTAGATCACAAACATTTTTACCCTACAGACATTAAACCTGAACTCCACGTTGAATTGAATTGTAAGGAAACGAATATCTATAAAGAAGAAAATCTCAACTGGAACATGGCAAAAGCACCAGCAACATCGAAAGTATGTGATATTGTACAATTTTCAAAAAACTTCTTACATCAAGATGTTGCCATGGCAGATGAGCAAAGATATGTCATGTGTGGTGTATGTGAGAAAGGTGAGTTTTGCCCTTCGAAAAATCAACAATGTAACATTTTTTTTATGGATACTTACTGAAGAGTTGAGTTATCAATTAACAATTTTCAGGGAGTTCCAAACATTAAATACATTATTTTGTTACAGAAAGTCCATCACTTTCTACTGACTGCATATGTTGTGGCAAATCATTTGCCTTCAAGGATGAAGAACTGAAAGAAACAGATGTTTTTATTGAAAGTGTAGAAGAAAGGCGTCATGAGTTCGAATGTGTTTCTTGCCAATCATTTTTCGATAATAATATTGATTACGAAACACATCTTGAAAGCCACAAAGACAAGAAAAAAGATTTTATGTGTGAACAATGCGGTAAAACTTTCAAGAAAAAGTGGGATTGTCAAGTACATGTTAAAGTGCATAAGGGTATACGACCATTCTCATGTGAAATATGTTCAAAAACTTTTACAAGGAAGTATTTCCTGAATGAACACTATAAAACACATTCGGGTGAAAAACTGTTTTATTGCCATTTGTGTCCAAAAAGTTTTCTTCAAAATAGTAAACTTTTGCGTCACCATAGAATCCACTCAGGAGATAAGCCTTATCAGTGTAAGTATTGTTTGACGAGTTTTTCTAGGAAAAGCAATATGAGATGCCACGAAAGAATACACACAGGTGAAAAGCCATTCTGCTGTACAGTTTGTGACAAAACTTTTACTCGGAGCAGAAACCTGGAGAAACATCGAGAAAGTCATGAGCAAACAACATTCAAATGTGAAGTTTGTGGTGAGACAACTGGTAAGAAACTGGACTTCAAAAGACATACCAAAACTCACTTGAAAGAAAAATGGTTTAGCTGTAATTCATGTGAGAAGAGTTTCAAAAAGAAATCACTCTTGAAGAGGCATGAGAGAAGCCATAGTGGTTTGAAGACTTATAAGTGTAATTTTTGTTCCAATGCTTTTGTATCTAGTTTCAATTTGAAAAGACACATGAAAATACATTCAGATGTAGTTACAGACTAATTTAAAAAAAGGAATAAACACAAAACTATCTGTGAAATTTTATTTTATGAATTCAAGAAACAGTTGTGATGTTTAATTTTTTTTTTTAATATCATTGTAAGTTTTGCAAACCAACTCTTAATTGGATGTCATGAAGAAATCGTTTTGAATATGATGACACATTCATCAATAATATATTATGTGCCATTGATATTATCCAAAACAGAAGTGTCAAGATTATTAATAATGAAGAAAATATATGCTACCCTTCATATATTTACACCATTTTTTAAAATCCCAATTAGAATATAATTTAAAATATTCTATACAAATATGTGTAGATCATACGTAGAAGTGACTTTTCAGATACAAACTGGAAGAAAATCCCTCTAGAAACAACTACTTTCATTTGGTCATGGAATTAAACGAAAAACACTTTTTCCTATTCCATATGTACTCCGAACATTTGTTATGGAATTAAAAGAGATATCAATAGGAACACCATGCAAAAGCTGGTTTAGTTGTTGTTTTTCCGTCAGGTTTTTCCGCCACACATACCTACAAAGACGTAGGTTCACCGGAGAGGCAAGGGGTAAGGTGTTTTTCACCTGAACTTGGGCATGTCATATGCACCTCTCTGGAATATGTTTATTATTCTGACTTTGTCTGCAGGTGGCGCAGTTGACATCCTACTGAATCTACTGCAGATGGGAATAGTTTGTTCGGGATACTCGGACGGTTCACTCCGTGAAGATCCGAGTAAACCCGGAAAAGACTCAGGCGATAACCATGGGAAGATTACTATCTTCTCCGGCCAGAAAAGTGAGAATCTCTGGAAGGGAGATTGACTGGCAAGCGCGGGTAAAGTACCTCGGCCTTCTGATAGACCGTAGGCTCACTTGGAACCCGCACATTATGTACGTTAAATCTAAGATCGAGGGTCGGATAGCTAGTCTGTACCCTCTGATCAACAGGAAATCAAAGATGAGTTTGAAAAACAAGATCACGATCTATAACACGATGTTCAAGTCTGTCATCATGTATGCTTCAGGCGTCTGGGGACAAGCGGCTCCGCCCAACATTTCCATTTTGGAAAGGTTACAAAATAAGTTAATTAGGATGATTGTGAATGCTCCTTGGTTCGTGCGGAATGAAGCCATCCGCAGAGATTTGCAGCTGCCTTCCATTCGGCAGTCCATCCAGTCGAGGAATGAGAGAGTTTTCGAAAAAACGGAAACTCATGAAAACCCGTTAGCAAGTACTCCGAAACCGGTCTGTCGGTAGTCGTTCCGACCAAATGATGTTAATTTCTGCTTTTCATACATAGAAAGTTACTTGCGACGCATCTTTCAAATGAAAGAATTTGCACAGGAGGTTGATGGTTTACTACAGCTTTCTGTGCGACATTATCTGGGTTAGTTGTTATTTTTCCGTCGAGTATCTTCCACACGTACCTACAAAGGCCGTAGGTTCACATGAGAGGCAAAGGGTAAGGTCAGAATATGGAGTCCCTGGAGTATGTGTTTGTGGAGTTGTTTCCGGACTTTGTCTGCAGGTGGCGCAGTGGGCATCCTACCGAATGAACTTCAGATAAGACTAGTTGGAATTTATTTTGTTTGTTCGGGATACTCAGACGGTTTACTCCGTCTGAAATGACCTGCCCGGTACTCACGAGGAGCAAGTACTCCGAAACTGGTCTATCGGTGGTCATCCTGACCAAATGAAGTTAATTTCTGCTTTTCATATATAGGAAGTTACTTGCGACGTATCTTTCAAATGAAAGAATTATCACACGAGCCTAATGGTTTACTTTAGCTTTCTGCGCGGCATTAGCTGGTTTAGTGCGTTCATGAACACTATCATTGCCAAAAACCCGGTTAATTTTTGGGCTGTTTCGGTGGCGCTTTGGTTCAATTTGAATTCGTAGAGAAAAGTAATGAGTTGAAATCGCCATGTATGGTAAATATATAAACCCTGCGATCTCCTTGGAAATAGTTAAATCACCGAAAAAGTTGAAAAAGTTATTTACTTGACTTACGGCTTAAGTCTGCAATGGAAAGTCAAGCGAGTGAAGTAATGCTTCCGCAAAGTGCACATGACTATTTTACTGCAAAATGTAGGAAGTGTAAGTCTCTTTTTTAGTGGTATCTCTATTCTAATTCATGTATCACCTATAGTTGATCCACTGTGGGTTCAAGTTTTGATAAATTTGAGGATGAAACATTCGAAAATGTTCACGAGGCGAAGAAATTCAGCCTCTGAAGGATGGAAGTAAACTTGTATTAAACCGTTTAATCTCCAGCCTTAATTTCGTTCTGATTTCAGGTTAGTGTTCGATGAATTGAAAGAATCCGGGGCGCCGGAATATGTAACTATAATTAAAATTAAAAAGAAGTGGATGAATTTGATGACCAGATATAGGGTATGAATTTATATTCCTCAGGATTTTGTTCGAATTAATAAAATTCAATTATAAAGTATATGAAAACTGGCATTACAATTCGGAATTGTAATTATCAAAGCCAATACAATTTTTTGAGCAATTTTTTGCTATGAAATACGTATTTTCGTACGTTAATCCGATTGAAAGTCCAAATTTATCGGTCTATCTTCAAGTACATTCCTCCAAATGCTCAAAACATTTAAAGAAACGATTCTCAAAAATTCTCTTTTATAAATAAAAACTCGTTAAATGTACGATTTCATTGTAGGTCATTCTCGGCTCTCGCAACGGCATATCCACTTTAAGTTCCAGCCAGCCTTCCATAAGGGGTGCGAGTTCTATAATATTGAACAACGGTATAACAATTCGTCAAGTTATTCGAAAATCATGGTATATAGGCTTTCACGGCCGGTGTCTAACAAATTTTCCGATGGTTTAATAGCCGTGATCTGCAGGTTTTTATACCTGACATTCCGTCTGCTACTGCGGCAGACATAATCAAAGGCGATACGGCAACGGACGAAGTGATCTATCTTGCTGCGATGTGCGAACTGAAAATGGTCCTCCCACCCCCCATGCCCTGAGTTGAAATCTTCCCCACACGATTACTGTATGCAGAACATTTCGTCCATGGCACTTCAGCAAGATTGACATCTGATCTTTTTTTGGTCGAAAGTCAGCCTGTAGGGGGTTTTACTTTATAATCTGATGCTTTGTTTTATCTTGGCTTTCCTAACTTTTGCATGGGGTCCCCAAAAACTAACCGGCGACTATTTTTTAAAAGACATCCGGTCTTGATTCTGTTAGAGATTTTTAGAAAGGTTTTTTTAACTTTCATTATTTCTTTCATATGCCAGAGGGATGGTTTTGATTTGATCTTCGGAGTAAATCCATTCTAGACAAGTTGCTTCATTCATCAACGACTTTATTCAAAAAGGTTAAATGTTGAATTTCAGCAAATAAAAAACACAACACTGAACCCCGAAATGATAACCTGGCCTTATTACGAACAAATGGACAAAGCCTTCGGTCAAGAATCTGAACTGTATTCGCTTGGAAAGAACCACGATCATGCTTTCAATCAGACCGTGAGTAATGGTAAGAAATAGATGGAACACTGTAACACTCTTGTTAAAGTTTTCTCAATTCTCCAGATGAAAGACAAAGTTTTATGAAAAAACTAATAGAGCTCCGTTATACGCATCGTCATTTATTCACTGGTAGGAAATACACTGCAAGAGACGGATGGATGTAAGTAAAACTGAATGTTCATAGTCAAATCAAAATCTATTCTTCAGAGATCAGAACAGACTTTGAAATTGGACATCGGTTTTTGTACTTATCACTGGTATTCGTTATCTGTCAAAATTGTCATTTGAGTGGCACAAGGCATCACTACACCGGACAGCTACAGTGAGGAAACCGTGATCCAGGGGTCTGTGTGACCTGAACAAAATCGGTAACCAGAAAGTTGCTTGACTTCGCTTCGCTATTCTAAAAAAATAAACAAACAAATCGATTTCAACTCTATTTCAAACCAAATTAACTCTACTATACGGTCGCTAACTAATTGCAGGGACAGAGGGGTGTGCAACGAAGTGAGTACGGAAACAAGACGGCAGGGTTTTAAGCTAAGTAATAAACCACGATTAATGAAACAAGCGGGTATGAGAAGCTCTGTTCAATTCACCTCAAAAATAATAGCTGTCCCTCACCTACTCGAGCTTTATTCTTCGTCCCCGTATAAATGGATGAGGCTTCGGATTCCCCACGCGCGACCCCGAAGTTTTGACAGCAACGACGATATCTGACAAGCAAGAAACGAGAAAAGGATTGCCCAACTAGCGAATACCACAAAGGGCCGGAAACGAGGAAAGAAGTTTCGGACAGATGATCCAAGTGACGAATATCCCAACGGACCATCAATCGTAAGAGACGCGCGAAGAAAAGGTAGCCCAAGTAGCGAATACCACAAAGGGTCGGAAAACTTAGGAGACGCGTGAAGACAAGGTAGCCCCAGTGGCGCGTTTCCGACACAAAGGGCACTGTGGCCCTATTGTTTGTTACTGTTTTTTGAATATCCCCGACCTCTGAGTAATGGAAGAAGAAGAAGATAATAATACATAACTTTTCGTTTTCAAACTTCCAAAGAATTCAAAGTTTCATTTCAAACATGGACACATTTTTGTTTTTTAATCTTGAAATCTAATACTTAAAATAGTTCAACAACAAAGAACCAAGTAGAAAGCAAGTTGATATTTCAAGTATTAGACCACGCCCATTGGCCATACCCGTAACAGAGACAACCAACTTGTCTCTGCCCGTAAGAAGGCCACACACCACACTGTATAGAAGTGTAGAAGTAAACACTTCTATACGGTGGCCAAGGCCTTCTAGATTCAGTCATGCTATTCAAATGTCTTTACAAGCGCCACCTAGTGGTCAAAAACTCAAATTTCCACTATGTTGGTGCTCTTCAAATATATTGCAATAGATTTCAGCAGATTTTGAATAACAATGTAATTAGATTTCTGAAATAAAATGTCGTCACGCTGTTCCCTACTTTCAGCTCAGACGAGGTGGTGTACGTCATCACTACACTATCGCGGGTGCTATGAATAACGATCGTGGTTGTCAAAAATTATCCAAGAGGTTTTCCTCATTCGCGGAACGGAACTAACAACCTTACCGTATCGAATTCCCGGCATTCTTCCGAATATTTTCCAGCAAGAACGATATTTTTATACCAAGGAATAACCGAGATGCAATTATTCAGTTTGAAACGCGAGACTTGTAATAAAGAAATTAATGAACTGACTACTCGTAGACAAATGAGTTCCGTACGCAAAATTTAATTCAAATAGTCCTGTATAAAATATCTCAAAAATTTGATAAACTTTACATAATCAGTACAATCACTTACAGGATAATACAGTCGCTGCTTCAATGTCAAGGAAAATATTCAGTCGATCAGCTTAGTAAATGCTGGCAAAATTTGGTCCAGCGGTACAAACAATTGTCAAAAAATGAATCAAACCAAATTATCACATGGCCTTATTTTGAACACATGCACAAGTGGTTTGAAGAAAGCAAAGTAACCGAAGCTATGAAAATCGAAACCGAGGAGAGCGAAAATGTTATCGAAAGTGAAGACAAAAATGAAGAAGTAAACGACCCTCAGCTAGTAGACTCGTTTCAAGAGTTGCGAAAAAATAATATTTCTATTGAATGCATCAAAATTCAACTATTAAGTGAGATAAAAGTAGCTCAAGAAAAAAATCATGCTGCTGTAATGGAAGCCATGAAAAACATTGGTGAGAAATTAAATAGATTGACTAGAAACGAGACAAGGCTAGATTCAGCTGCCAAACCTGATAACGAGAATGTTTAGTACAACGTGGGAATGTATTGAACTTTGTATTTATGTTTTAAATTAATATAATATTCAATCTAAAATTGTAACGACTGATTCCAATTAACTTACCATATTTTCGAATCATTCTTTTGTAATGTAATAGAAATTGAAACAAAGAGAAAACAAATTGGAAATCATCATCTGAAAAGTCTGTATTTTGAAATGTCTATATGAAGCTTTGATAGAAAGTTTGTTCTTTATATAAATTTGGTAATCATTGGAAACATAAAAGCTATGGAGAAATGTCAAATTGATAAAAAAAAAATCACTATTTAATAATTTTGCAACTAACTTCATAAGCTAATGGAGTTTTTTCTGTTATCAAAAGATCTGGTAATTGTTTAAAATCCACCAAGATTAATTAAGTTGACGTATTTTTTTTGTATTCAATTTATTTATCTGGTTTTTATGTTCGCATGTACCTGCAGATAGTATTAATTTTTTCTTTTCAGCTCATTTAATATTTTATACCAGAAGTAGCTAATAATAAATTACAATATTCAAAAATTGTATGTTATAAATGTGCTTGATTTCATGCATTTGGATTGATTGAAAACTTATTGTGAAGATTGTCGGTAGTTTATTCAACTTTCTCCTTTCTGTTCCCCTACTTTGTTTTCAAAACTTACACAAAAACGAGTGTCGAAAAAGAAAGGTAGTATTAATTTCTATCAATATCAAGAATCACTTTTGAAGAAATTTGAGGAGTTTATGGAGATCAAATCGTGAGGTGTATTTTTTGAAATTACTATGGATCTTCATCAAGTAACGGATCAGATCAGAAAACTTCTGTAAACAATTTTCTGTAAATTCATCATTATTCATGAATTTTCTTTATTTGGAATGACATTTCTAAAAAAAATACTCTCCTTCTTACACCAATTACAAGTGACTATCACAACATATATTTTTTTAAATATAAATCGATTCAAAATAACATTCAATCGAGCTGAAACAGCTCTAATACCTAGATTTCTAGTGCAGCTAAAGATTCTTCTATTTCAGCAGAGCTCACCTCAGCATATCTGTTCTTTATTTCCTTGAGAGACCAATCGATGATTTTGATGGCAGCTTCTTTCTTCTTTCCAGTAAAAATTTTCTGGTTATTCAGCAGGGCAGAGGTAGACTGAAACAATAATTTCCAATGATTGAAACATTAATTATATTTCAGAAAGATAGTATTAGCATAGCTTAGTATAAGCTAAGTAAAAATTTCGAAATTCGGGAACATAATTTGAAATTTTTGACTCTAACAAAAAAATTTCAAAGGCAAGCACTAGCCGGACGTACGAAATTTTTCCAAAAAAAGTTATTACCAAGTATATTCCATACAAAGCTCTCATATTCTTTGGATTCAATTTCAGTGCTTGATAATAGTATGTCCTAGCAATCTCAATATTATCTAGGCCTCCTTGGCTATATTTAATATCTGCGTATCTCTGATGCAGTAAATGATTATGTGGATTGTGTAGTATCAGTTCCTCAACACAAAATGCAGCTTTGCCGTAGTCGTGTTCGTTCAAGTACAATTCGCTTAGTTCTTGCCAAGCTTCAACATCGGCCATAAAACTGAAACAATATTTAAAATAAGTATGTGGTATTATTATATGGAATGTCAGTGAAGAGGGGTCAATAAAACGTAGTTGAATTTTTTTACAAGTTAAATCCGCTATTTAATTATTTTTCCAAACTATATTGATATGGTTAGATATTAGAAGAAACTTCAGCCAATATCACTGTATTAGACGCTTCCACATTTATAACACTTGGCCTGTTCTAATTTGTACAGGTTTCAGGAGAAACTTTCATTATTCTGTTACTTATCAATGGTATACTCAGATTGAACCTTGATCATTAGCTCGATAGTCATATCAAGTCATATCATTACTGCGTAATGGCTCCAGGTGGTTAAAGGTGGTCAAGATCATATCCTGACATAATATTTTCTCAAATCCTTGATAATGATTGAGGTAAAATCTTTTTACACCATTGAATAGACAGAAAAAAATCCTCAAGCTTTATTTTTTGAAATGCATTTTTTTTAAAAGTTATTTTGTTTGGATTACCTATGTAATTCTGTAGCACAAAAACAAATTACCAAAACATTGTACAGAGAAAATCTGAAGATTATATTAGGTAAACTAAGAACTTTCCAAGTGATGTGTTAGCAGAAAACATAATAAACATCGATAATCATAATTATTTGTATGACGACAGTATTTTTTTACCACCCATGTAATAAATTAATAAATATGTGGTTAATGATTGCTTTTTATTGACCCTCTCTTCAACAATATTCTGCCATATGAAAGAAGTTGGTAACAGAATATAAACCTGAAAAATTAACTGCATTGAAAGTAAACATACATTTTCAAGTATTCAACTAGCTCTTTGATGGCTTCAGAATTTCTACCAAGTGCTTTACAAATTCCGATTTTACGTTTCCTTGCTGAACTGTTGGTGCTGTCTACTTTAATGATGTCATTGAGAATTTGCAGTGACCTGCTATAGTTCTCATCAGCTTCATGAAACATGGATTCCAATACCCGAACTCTACAACTATTTGGGAACTCTCTGTATAATTCTTGAATGCAGCGTTCTGCTATCTTGAGTTGATAGCAATCAATAGCAGCAATGCATATCTGTTCTAAGACTATGTGCTCTGAAAATAAGATATAGAAAATACTTAGTGAAATAGGGGTTGATTCATGCACCCAGTCTTTAGTCATAGGTCTCAAGTCGTCAGAAATTATAGGGATTCGGATCAATGATTTTGGTGGCAACGTGAATGCATGAGCATAGATATTATCTCGTACTTACGTGTAAGTATCTCCGTGCAAGAGTTGTGAGTTTTTAGTGGTGAACTTGCAACTGAAGACTGGTGCATGAATAAACTTTTGTTCGTAGGAGAAGGGGTTGGGGTTATTAAACAGAGTCTTACTTTCTTTCCCTAAATTCTCAATATTAGAAGAAATTGATGCATTCCAGATCTGGACAACTTCTCTGCTATCTCGAATATTATTATCTCTATGCAGTTTCAGCTTCTCCAAATCTCCTGGAAGTATGGAAAATAATAAAATTTGTATCTTTTTTAAAATAATTTTCATTACCTTTCAGATTACCCATAGTAAACTGTTATAATTACAAAAATAACTAATGTGTAGTGCACCTTAACCCAGTAAAATTCGACTCCCGTATTTCCGATTTGTTAATCAATTTATAAATTCAATAATTGATTACTACACATTATTACTGTTTATTGAGTGACGTAATAATAGGACGTATTTTACTCCAAAAAAGACTACGAAGAGTAGGTTGTTATAAGGTTGGCTATACTTGCTGTCAAATTTATTGTGAACAATACTCGTGAATACGTTATGGATTTTTATCAAGTATTGGCCGATTCAATCAAATATATTGCAAACTGTGAAATATAATTCAAAAATATTATTATTTATCCAACCTAACGTTGAATCAAGTACACTTGTTGCAGTGTATTGGGTGTACTCCTCCGAATGAAAGTTTTAAAAATGGCAGAACTTCTTGATATTTGCTTTTGAATGAGTAGCCAACTGTATAACATTTAACGTTAAATACCTCCCCTTTTTTCAAATAGAACTGACTTTAAATGGTTATTTGGTTACCATAAAACCATTCTTTTAGGAGGAGGTGGTCGTTTATTATTATTTTAGAACAAATATGAGCAGGAAGAAATGTTTGATATTTGACATTGTTGAATATGGATGACGAAGGAATGACGTGTCGTAAACGTAAAGAGTAATGAGGTTATGTATAAGCATAAGCAAGGTTAGGTTGAAAATGCGTAGGTTGGAATTTGGCTTTCAGATATCTACTTTTTGAATTAAAAGAATCTAAAACTCTTGAAAATTTTATTTCTCCTGGATCCCGGAACTTGATTATCCCAGTGAAATTATTAGTAATATAATGAGGTGAGTTTTCTGGGGGCCTTAAAATCGTCAAACTGAGCTAGATGTTTTCCAACATTCAAACTATGCTAACAGAAGGACATTGTATCGCTCAAGTGAGAGTCATGAAAACAATTATTTCTGCCCCAAGTGATGAACTGTTATGAATAATTAATATATCAATTGCTAAAATAAAAGCAAAACAAAAAACTCGCTTACCGCTTTTGAGGATTTTTTGCAGTGCTTGTGAATTTTCTTAAACAAATTTGGTTCATAATGCGATAATCTTTTATGAGATGGTCACGATTTCGGCTTCTAGGATCACCGATATCTTATTAGTCCAGTACTAATATCTGAAACAAAGTTCAAGATATAAATTAGTTCTAATACCTGATTACAAGTCTTACTCCTTTTCAGAGAAGGATTGGCAAAGATCTACTTATATTTTGCTTATTTTTGATTTTAATTTTTTTTCTAATCCCAAAATAAGCATTTACTTTCACAAAAATCAACTTCCCGATTGCAGATCCACGATAGGCAAGAAACAATGAAAAAGTCAATTATGGATAGTTTTCTTATAAATATTTTCAAAACAAAATTTTTTGGCATAGTAAGGGCCCCATTAATAATGAACACCGTTTGTTTAATGCCGACAACACTTTTTTTTTTACCTTTGGTCATGTTTTCTCAAATTACAATTTGTTTTTTCTAGAAGTATTTATTTCATTTTACTCCTTTTATCAATAATCAATGAGCTATATGCCGAAGAAAATGATTATTACAAACTATTAGGCGTTGACAGAGATGCTACAGTGAAAGAAATAAGGAAAGCTTTCAAAACTTTGGCTGTAAAACTTCATCCAGATAAAAATAAGGTAATATTTAATGTTTAGTGTTGAAATTGTAAATTAATTTTCGTTTATTATATTGCATTTGAATCGATAACATTTTTTCTACCATATTTTAGGATGATGCGAATGCGGACAAGACTTTCATCAAATTGGTTAGAGCTTATGAAGTACTGAAAGATCCTGATATGAGAAAACAGTATGATTTACATGGAGACGAAACAGATACTAATAAATTTAGAAAACAGTATCACAGCTACACCTATTACAGAGATCAGTTTGGTATTTATGATGATGATCCAATCATCGTAACTTTGAGCAAACACGATTATGGTGAGTGTTTCTAATTGGCAAATTTTACCAAGCAAAATTCATTGCTTATTCACACTCTGAAAATATTTATTTACTTTTTTGGAGCTATATTTTTCTATTCCATAATGAAAGTAATAAATACTTGCACCTAATTTCTTGGTCTTATTCTAGATGAAAATTTATCATGTAGACAACATATTAAAACAATAAAAAGTAAAAAGCTCCCATAATTGGAAGTACCTTTTTCATGTTCTACTATTAAATAACGGTAATTGCGGTTTTGCCAATAAAGTGAATCAATAGCTGTTTGCATAAAAAAATGTGAATTTTCACTGTGTCACTGTCCTAAAAGTGCAACAGAGTCCTTGTATTTAATGCTAGTAATTTTGTCTTGTATCGTTTGTTTCAAAAGTTTTGTCTGTTTTAATCGAAATAATTGCCATTTGAATCAGGGCACATTTGCCACCGTATCACAAGTCAATTATTTCCGTTAACAAAAAAATTTGCGTGATCGGGATTGGATGAAGTCGACGAAGGACGTTTTTTGCCTGGTCCTGATTTCATTCTATATTTTTAAGGTGAATTCATGCGGCAATCTTGAGTTGTAAGTCACAAATTTCAAGTCATAATAATTCATGTGCGTAAATATTTTTTATGTAAAAACTTACAAGTACATGAATGTTTCCATTAAAAGTCATTGATCTGCCTTCTTATGATGTACGACTGGTGAATCAATAAAACCACCACATACTGAATATAATTGTTTTCTACTCAGTTTATTATTACAGTCTTCAATAACTCAGTAACTAAACTTTAGATTACTAAATAAATTAGTACAACATTTAATTCACTTTTTAGAACTGAACATTTTGGATACAGACCAAGCATGGTTTGTGAACTTCTATTCTCCCAATTGTCACCATTGTCATGAATTGGCACCTACATGGAGAAAACTAGCGAGAGAACTTGAAGGAGTCATTCGAATTGGTGCAGTAAATTGCGAAGATGATTTCTTTTTGTGCCACCAGCTAAGAATAGAAGCATATCCAACATTGCTCTACTATGAAAAAGAGGTAGATTGATTGAATGATTGATAAACATTCTAAATTATTAACTGATTTATATGAAAAAGTTACTAATTCAACATCAAGAGTCATGGTTGTATATTCAGTACTGAAACTATTCACGTAAAAGGAAAAAGAAAATTCTTGACACGGGTGAAAACGATTATGAACTCGTCCTATTTGTTTACAGTTTCATCTTTATGAAGGGTTGAAATACACAGGGGATAGAAGTGTGGAAGCCCTCCAGGACTTTGTTCTCTCCAAATTGTCTGTGAAGATAGAAGAAATTACGATTGACCAATGGGAGAATATTGAATTTAGGAAGCAACAGAGGTTACTGTTTTTATGTCCCGAAGGAAACACAAACTGCCCTGAAACGAGGACAATGTTGAAGTTAGCAGCATCTTTGGTGAGAATTATTGAAATGTGAAAATATTGTGCTGGTTTTTATCCTAATTTACGGGTACTAGTGGAACATTAGTCATAGATTGAAGTTAGTTTATTTTTCAAAGCTTTCTATCTAGTCTCAATCATGTTCTAATGGACAAAAAGTGCCTTCAAATCATTCAAAAATTATCATTTTCAATTACAAAAACTATTGGACATTTGTATATGCCCTTTTTTAATATACTGTTTTTTAATTTTCAGGAAGGGCTGCTGCCTGTAGGAAAAGTAAAAGATGAGGATTTGTGTGAAAAATTGTCAGAGAATTACAAAAGCAAGCCAATTATTTTGAGCCAAGCTAATGAAAACACCTCACCAGATTCTACCGGATCTGTTGTGGTCCAAGATATAGAAGGATCTGATACAAAAGAAATTCTGGAAAACACTTTGGGCAAGTTACCAAATCCTATCACTCTGGATGAACATAAATTTAGGGTGAGTTTATTTTTTGAAAAAATATCAACATGGATATATTATTTATGATTAATGCACTTACAGTTTTCTCTATTGATTATGAATAGTTAGCAGTTATTACATGCAGTCATGACAATGATAATAACGTTCAAACAATATAATACATATGTCAGGATGAATAGATACTTGAGAATATTGAATGTCAAAATACATTCATTTAAAGTAGAACTCATGTGAATGATATCTGATTTTTATTCCACAACGAATGTTTGAAATACAAACCGAGTAGAGAAAAGTATCTTCTGTATAATTCAGTGATCATATAGAATTTTTTTCTTTCGTATAATTTAATGTTTATATGAAAGTAGCTGTTTCAGGAGGACTTTCTTTCAGTTTGTGTCTGAAAGTTACTTCTTTGCATGATCTACACATCCATGTATAGAGTTACTTATTTTCAAATTTGATTACTTCCTTCCTTTCTTTGGAAGATTCCCTCATTTTTTTTTTGCATCAAGATGGAGTAGTAGAAAGCCAAAAATGTTCTTTCCCAAAAATTAATCACTCCTAAAAATATAACCCCTTCAATTCACAACATAGATATAAATCATGTCCAGCATCTTAAATCAAAATATACATTAAAATTTCACTCGTAGCAATGTTGTTGCATATTATTGACATTTTTTTTTTTTGAAAATAATGCCTGGATGTTTTTTCAAACCCAATATTTTTTAAGGCCATAATAATGTTTTTCTTTCACAAATTGAATTTTTTATTCCTTTCCACATTTTGAAAATTGTTTTCACTTTTAATTGTTATGATATGCTATCAACAAGATGTACTAGATTCCTGACTGTACTGATACACTTTCAAAATTCATTCTAGAGCTCCATAAGGTTTTGTGTTAGGTCCCATTCTTTTCTCATTATATATTAATGACCTCACCAAGCTTAATATTTCTGGGAAGTTCACCTTATTTGCAGATGACACTACCGTACTTTGCAATAATGAAAACACTTGTGAGTTGCACAAAATAATCTCTGCCGACTTGAAAAAAGTTGAAGATTGGTGTGGTTCAAACATTTCATCTTTTAACTTAACTAAAAATAATTTAAAATCATTTAGATGCTCAATCAACCAACTTTTTTTTTGAAGACATATCACTGGAATCTAAAAATTACACTAAATTTCTAGGAGTGTTAATTGAGCAGAATTTAAAATTTGTGGATCACGTTAAACAACTCACTGCAAAGATGGTGTACTATGCACTCATAGATTCTCACTTACACTACGGAATACCGTTTTGGAGAGCATGCAGTCCAACTTTATTCAAAAGTTTACTAATTTCACAGAAAAGGGCAATAAGGGATACAGGAAACCTTAAAGAAAGAGACTCCTGTAGAACCTCCTTCAAAAAAGATAATATTCTAACGGTAACTGCATCATTTACACTGGAATCTGTGTGTTTATTAAATAAGCATATATTAAATTTTGCTGCATCCTCTTCCCATTATAACACTCGAAACAGCAGACACACTCTGAAACTCACTGGGCCAACTAAAAGCATCACCAGATCTGCCAATATAAATGACTTCCAATTCAGGACGTTACCCAAACAATTTCTATCTGATAGACCCTGTTATAAAAAGAAATCTGTTTAAAATCTATTTTTCCATTAACCAGCTGTCGCACCCCTACGAACGACAATCTTCAGAAGTCGAAACTTGTGCGAGATAAGGATTAACGAGGTCTTACCTTTAACGTGTGATTCCTAACAAGGGTTGGACGATAGCAAGTGAAGATCGATCGTTCAGACTAGGGCTTGAACCACCGACCAACACAACAGTCAATTCGAGTGAGTGAACAAAGCACTCACGCCGAACCGCTTGGCTACCGACCGACCAATGGATGAATATTGGATGAATATTTTATCGATAGCTTTTAACTGACTTACTCATATTTTTTATCTTTATTCTTATTCATATCTTTTATATTCTCCATTTTAACATAGTTTGTACCCATGCATCATTTTTATTTTTATTTCATTTGGTATATATTGCATTTTTTTAAAGTATTTATTACCCAAGCTTTGTCTACAATATGTCTTATGATAATAAAGCATATTATTATTACTATCAATGGTTAGCATGTTAACTTTTATTACATGCAGTCATGACAATAATAATAATAATAATGTTCAAACAAGATAATACATATGTCAGGATGAATTGATAGCAGAAGAAAATGCTTTTATTTTTTAAATTCACAAATCGTGAAAACCCTCTGTTATGATTTTGGATTAATTTGTCAGCACTTCATTAATCAATCTGAAAAAACATTTCACATTCCATTTTAAACTCTGATATCTGGCATTCTGAATTTTTCGGTATGGGGAACATTAGACAGACCAGTTTGAGGTTAAAATTATCAACATATGAAATTTACTTGCTGTGGAATATAAAGTGCCTACAGTTTATCGGTTATAAAAACAACTATTTGTGTAACATAATAAAATTGAAACCGTAGAAACAAGCTGTCATATCAGACTCTCAGACTCACTGTTTTATCTTTCTTTCTCTCTTGTAGAAGAAAAGTATGTGTTTATGAGTTTTCACATAGCACAAACGGTTTACTAAGCTTTAATTGAATCCCAAATGAGATATGGAATACCATTTTGGGGAACATGCAGTGCAGCCATTCTCTCTTCTGTGTTGATATTACAGAAAAGGGCCGTAAGGTGTCTCTGTAAAGTCAAATCTAGGGAATCATGCAGAAATTATTTTGCGGCCAATAAGATGTTAACTGTCGTTGCACTGTTTATTCTTGAATCTGTATGCTTGGTGTATAAACATAAAACTGACTTTGGCTTTGTTTCTTCTCCTTATGCTACTCGTAATAGTAATATCAGACTTCCTACACCTAACTCAACATTAATCAAGGATTCCGTTTTTTATAATGGTGGAACCAGTAGGTCTGCAAGTCTGACCAACGTACAATCCAAGAAAGCAGTTCGAAATTTGCCAGCTGATAGACACTATTACAGTATTTTAATGAATCATTAAAAAAGTGTATTCAATTTTATTTTTATTGTAGTTGTACTTGTTTCATTCAAACTGTTGTAAATTACCAGTTTTTATCTATACACCATTAGTTATGTTTTTATTTTTGATGCAAAATCTGCTAACAACAAAGTATATTTTTTCAAAAACTACATGTATGTGTTGCATATTTTGTTGATGTTGTTTGTGCATTCTTTTATGGTCCCAACTACGTATATTCGAATCCAACATATAAAGAAATCTAGTGTTATAATTATTCAATTATTTCAGGAAATTCGTTCCAACTTGAGAAGCGAATCTGTGAAACCATGGCTCCTCTGTTTTTACTTGGGAGCAGCTACAGATCTGAATTTACAGTTGAAACGTCTTCCTCCGTTGATACCCAATATTAATCTAGGTTTGTAAACCCGGAATCCATAGTATCACTGATGAAATATTATTTTTTTATTGATAGGATTAATTCACTGTGGAAAAAGTTCCTCATTATGCTCTAGTTTGCATGTTGCTCGTTATCCCACATGGGGAGTTTTGAAAGTAGGAGGGGCATTTGAATTGCATCACGGCCGTGACATTCTTTATGAAGTAGCAAACTTTGCCAAGGACAGTGTGAAATCGACTAATTTACATGCTCTTTCGCCTGCAGATTTCATCAACATCAAGAACGAAGGTTTGTTTCGACGCAGTACCCACAGCAAAAACTGAACTGTATTATTTTTCTAGGTTCACCTTGGTTCATAGATTGGTATGCGCCGTGGTGCCCTCCATGTAGAAACCTGTTGCCTGAACTGAGGAAAGCTAGTCAAAATTTTGATTCGGAGAAAGTGCAGTTCGGAACTGTCGACTGTACTTTGCACAGGAATCTTTGCGTTGAACAAAGTATCACTTCATATCCAACAACTGTTCTGTACAACAATTCTCAAACACATCGTTTTCATGGACTCCTAGATGCAAACACTATTACTGAATTTGTGGAGGATATGATCAACCCCTCAGGTGAGTTGTAGAATGATTTTTTCGGTTAGCAAATTACCTGATTTCTTTCTCTCTGTCAAAACTTCAATCAGTCTGTTTTATGGTGAAACCAAGCCACTGGCAGCACCTGACAGTTGTTTCATTTTTTTATAGGTTAGGTCAAAAGTGAGTGGGTCTATTCGACCCTTCACCGCAACCCGCAAGGGTTCATTGTGGCTCACACTCGACCAAATAAACCTAGCTTCTTAACGAAGCCGATTACTTTATATGGTGAGTAATCCTTCAGGTCAGATGGTAAGAGTGTGGCTCTGCCAGACTCTGGAAACCTGATTCGGTCCGCAGCGGGGCAGGCACAAAGTATGTGCTCCGCTGTTTCATCATTTTCCAAAAAAAGACGTCACACACTGTCTTCTGGCAGTCCGAGCCTCTGCATATCATTATTCTGACAACAGTGACCTGTGAGAAGGCCTGTTAGACATCATAGTTCATCCCTCCGTTGACACGAAGTTTCTCGAGAGCAATGTCACCTTAAATAACTCAAGCTTTTTTATGTTTCCAATTACTGAATGGGAACTCACACAAATGATTAACAGATCTCTAACAGACTCTAACTTTGTGATCCAATTCTATATGTGTGTATAGGAAACAATTATCTATTATTATATTTATGTGGTATACATCTGTGTATGTTGTATATATGTGTGTGTGTGTGTATATGGGTCTGCGACTGAAAACAGATGTACCAGAACCTGGAGGTGTTTTTGATCCATCTGTGAACCAATAACTATCTGCTCTTGATATTTCCTTCTCCAGGAGGATTCAGTCCTCTCTTTTGGATAACCGAGGATTCACCTTTCAACGTGCGATTCTTAATAAGGAATGTAACTGTAGTGAAGTAGAAGTCCCACACATAATACCAGAGTCACCAGCTGAAGGAATGTTGTACAGGAGAAAGAAACACAAATAACGTGCGTTTACATTGGTTTTGATATTTGTTTTGGGTATAATTGGAAAGTAAATATTGAAATCAGAACTTTCACATTTAGCATTGGAAGAAAATTGGCCTTTCAAGTGCAAAGTATAGCAGTTGATCATAATCTCACATATTCTGAATTGCCTTTTTTTTCCTATAAAATTCAGCACTGTTGAATTCACTAATGATCCATTTTGAATTCATTTTATTGTAGTCATATCATTGGACGAAGGGTCTTTCATACGGTTGATGAGGAAACCCAAAAATGAACTGTGGATTGTTGATTTTTTCGCTCCTTGGTGTGGTCCTTGTCAGAAACTTGCTGAACAATGGAGGACACTTGCGAAACAAGTAAGTGGTTTGAAACAAATGTGTCATTCCCAAATTTAATTCAAATTGTCTAGGTTTCTCAGTTATCTGAAGTAAAAGTAGCTCAGGTGGATTGTGTGGCAAGTATGGAATTGTGTGATTCCCAGAATATCAGAAGTTACCCTACGATTAGGTTGTATCCATTGGGCAGCAAAGGAATGAATAGTGTTGCGTGAGTTGTGTTTCTTGTCAAGGAGCGTGCAGTATCAATTCAATGTTTTTTTGTTTCCAGAATATACAATGGGAACCGTGATGCCGTTTCTCTCAAGAGGTGGGTATTGAGTTTCATACCCTCACCGGTAGAAGAGTTCACTGCCAAGGATTTCAAGGCAAATATTCTTACTAAAAAATTCATCATACCTTGGATCGTAGATTTTTATGCTCCCTGGTGTGGTCCCTGCACACACTTTGAACCTGAATATCGAATTGTGGCTCAGGTAAGTTTTGCTCTTAGTGGTATGATAATAAAGTGTGACATTAAAAATTTAAGAATTATCCAGAATGAATTTTTGTACAAAATGTATGTGTCATCAATAAAAGAAAACAACATCTCATCTTATACAGTGCTAGTCAAAAGTCCCCTCCCCCCCTCGTATCTTTGGAACGGGTATACTTATAATAATGAAATTTGGAGGGTGGAAATAAACGGATGTAGGCTTCTTAACTGGTCATAACAGGTGACGCAATAGTCATAAATGACGTCACAAGGCCACTGTGACCAAAAATTTTAAATGGGACCCTATGGC